GATACATCGTATTTTAACGGCCCTTTAAAGTAGATTTTAAGCTTTTACGGCTAGAAAAGCGGAAATTACGATTTTGTAAAAGAGAATCGCCACGAAGTAGGTGTCACCACACCTTTAAAATCATTAATGGGCCAGTTACCGTTCGAAAAAAATTAATTTTGCGAATTTCCTCGTTGAAAATTGATGAAAACGAGGTGTCACCGTCCCTTTAAGGCCTTTTAAAGGGTCATTGAAGGCAAAAAATTGATCCTGGGATATGGTAGATGTCGTTTAAAAGGCCAGTTACAGTTAGAAAACTTATTTTTTCAAACTTTGTTGTTAAAAATCGATGAGAAGAGGTGCCGCCGTCCCTTTACAGGCACTTTTAAAGGGCCATTGAAGGCAAAAAAGGGGTCAATACTACCGTAGATACCTTGAATACGATATGCCCCTTCTCCATGTAGAGGGCCAAGAAATCGCCGCTGTGCTGGTCTCCGCGGAAGTACAGTAATCCTGAAAAATGGATTTTTTCTGAATTTTTCGAGACGTCAAAAGTCACTTAAAAATACGGTACCTTCCGTCGAATACGCGCTGAACGCTACGGTAAGTGACGCTACCGTACGCTCGCTGACTGGCAGGTTGATCACCGCGAAGCCGTCGCTGAAAAAAAATTGTTTTTTGCACTTTATGGACGCCCGAAAAGCCTAATTTCAGGTCGTAATCGGTTTAAAGGGATGGTGACACGCCGCTGGAATCCGAATTTTGATGTCATAATTGGTTCAAAAATTCAGGAACAGGCCGGGTTACGGTATTTTCGGCTTCGTCACCAGACAGATGGCCCGAATTTCGTGCCGTAATCGGTTTAAAGGGATGGTGACAGGCGGTAGGTACCCGAATTATATGGCGTAATCGAATAGCTTTAGACAATTCTAGGTGTTACCATCCCTTTAATAGCGAAACGCTCACGTACCGGAAATGCTGCGCGGGAGGCGCCGAATTTGGTGGCGGGGTAGCGCCCTCACATTCTTGGGTCGACTCTTGGAACGCCCACAGCTCGAGGGGCGTCTGAAAAACAGCCAAAGTACAATTTCGTTGTGTAATCGATAGATTGATAGCAGACTACAAATCTAGCCGCAATAATGACCAGCAAAAAAAAAAACGAAAAAAATTTTTCAAATTTTTACCATTAAATTTATTATAATCAGATTTTTATCATTTTTAAACAGTTTAAAAAACGCCTGGCAAATTTTCTAGGCTTTCTGGTTGGCAGCCTTCAAACTACAATTTAAAAATTCAGTAAAAATTTGAAGCTTTTGGGTTTCCGGTTTTTTCCAAAAAGAAACGACAAACTACAACGCAAAACAAAATTTTTGTCAATAGTGCGGAAAGTTATTTTTGGATTCCATATTTTTACGTCTTTAAATAGTTTGAAAGCCATTCGATAAAGCTTTTTAAGCTTTCTGGCCGGCAGACTACAAACTACAATCGAAATTTGGCTGCAAAAATAGAGAATTTTTCAAAATTTAGAAAACTTATTTCTAATTATTTTTTTTGTGTTTTATATTGTTTAAAATCGAACCTGATCGACCCTGAGGCCTCCAATAATCCCCTTGAATTGCGACGAGGCAAGGCCGAGTTCTTTCGCTTCTTCTTTCGTCGTTCCAAAAGCGAGTTCGGTCTCCCCGGGTACGGTATTGAAGATGGAGTCTCCGCTTGAGGAATGTTGACCGGCAGAGACGGAAATTGGATCCGAACGGAATGGGGATCCTTCTCCAATTGTCGACTCGCGAAGGGATACGGTAAGATTCACCGAGTCTCCGGTACGAGACACGTCGATGTGGTACCTGAAAAAAATTGGCATGAAATTTGTGCGATTTTTGAGAGGGAGGACAGGCTAGCAGGGATTCCTTGGGAAATAGGTGGATTGGATGGCAGATGACCTATATCCGAAGTGGTAGGCAAGCAGAGACCATTTGGGACGAATTTGGGCCTGACAAGGTGAAGGCTAATTTTAAGGCAGCTAGCAGAGGTTATTTGGAAAATATGGGGCAATCTAGCAAAGACCTTTGCGGAATGGGTAAACGGGATGCCAGATAACTCGAATTCAAAAGGGCAGGTCAGCAGAGACCATTTTGAAGATTTAGGGCCGAAAACGCGGAAAGGGTGAGTTGAAGGCAGCTAGCAGAGATTATTTAGGAAAATCATGGTGAAGCTAGCAGAGATTCCTTGGGAAATAGGTAGACTGGATGCCAGTTAGCCTATATCCGAACTGGTAGGCTAGCAGCGACCATTTGGGAAGATTTAGGGCCCAAAAAGCGGATGGACTGATTCAAGGTAGCTAGCAGATTATTTAGGAAAATCGCGACAAGCTAGCAGAAATTCTGGAAGAATGGGTAGACTGGAAAGCAGTGAAGCAAATCTCAGAAGGGCAGGCCAGCAGAGACTATTTGGGAAGATTTAGGGCCCAAAAAGCTGGAGGGATGATTTCGAGGCAGCTAGCAGAGATTATTTGGGATTTACGGGGACAGCTAGCAGAAATTCTTTGCGGAATGGGTAGACTGGATGGCAGATAATAGGATTTCTCAAGGGCAGGCTAGCAAAGGCCATTTGCGGAAAAACCGAGCCCAAAACTGACCAAGTTCCGGTGGCCGCTCGATCGGAGTGTGGGATGAAATTGATGGGGTGCGTGTTGGTAACCTTCTTCTTGCCGCCTCCAATATTCCAATGGGCCACGACGCGACGGTCGACAACCTGGAATAAATCGCGTAATTGCCGGAGGAATTATATGGCGTAATCGGCTATTCCGAGGTAAAAATCTTATAAAAATACCTCAACAGCAACGTATTCGCTGGCCTGTGTCCTTCTTCCTTTCGTTCGAGTCGAGAAAATAACAGCATCCGGGACTCCCTGGAATTTGATGGCGTAACCGGTTGTCGCTTCCGAGTACCTTTAGAGGGCGGAATTTGACGTGGAAACGATTGGCAGATGATGGGGCGGCTGGAGAGATGTATGAACGCCGGCAGTGGCCACGCTCATCGGCCCGGAGGGCAAGGGGTACCTGGAAATACATGGCGTAATCGCTTACTCGGTCTCTCTATCCCTCTCGCTCTCTCGCTCTCTCTTTCTCACTCGCTCGCTCTCTCACTCTCTCTCTCTCTCTCTCTCTCTCTACATTCTACCCTCGCCGCACTCATCTCAAGCTCTCTTCTCTTGTCTCTGCTCTCTGTCTCTCACTCTCTCTTTCTTTCCCTGTCTTTCTCTCACTCTCACTCGCTCTCTCTCTCTCTCTTTCTCTCTCGGCCTACCTGTCGTGCCCTCTCCCTCGTCTCTTCTATCCTCTCCTTCAGCAGGGCAATCCTCCTCTCAACATCAGCCATTCTCTCGCCATTTATCGCCATTTCATTCCGAGTTCGGCTCAGGTTATCTGACGATGATGACAGCTCGCTTCTGGCCAGGGTTATCTGAAAAACAATAGTCTTCTGAAATTAGGCCGTTCAAATTGCCACTGCTAGCCTGGCCCAGCCCCAAATCTCCGCAAATGGTCTTTGCTAGCAGGTGTCCTGCCAGCCAGTTAAGCGATTCTCATACCGAAAATGGTCTCTGCGAGCCTGCCCTACTCTTAAAACTCCCCAAATGGTCCCGTCTGACCAGTCTGCCAGCAGCTGATCAATTGGGGGAAGCTAGCCGTGATTTTGGGAAATTATTCTATTCAAAAATCACTGTCGGTTTATCTTGCATTACCATACCCCCACTTTTTAGCGCGCAAAAAGCAAGAAAGCAAAGGTTTAGGTAGGCGCGGCGCGCCGAACCCGCGCCATTTTTAGCCATCCTGTCCTAAATGGCCTCTGCTGCTCTGCCAGTAGGCCGATCGGTACCCAGTTAAGCGATTCTCATTCCCAAAAATCGCGAAAATTTACGATACCTTGTCGATTTCCTCGCGGATACCTTCAGCCGTTGAATTCGCCAGTTTGTCGGTTTGTTCACCAATCTGAAAAATTTGATATTTTGCTCTCTCTCTCTCTCTCTCTCTCTCTCCCTTCTCTCTGTCTTTCTCCTTACCTCTCTAACTTCCTCCTTCATCCCCTCAGCTTTTTCCTTGGCTTCCCTGGCTCTCTCCTCACTCTCTACAGCCATTTGTTGCAGACCACCCATTCTCTCGTGTTGATCGTCAAAGTTTTCGAGCTGGGCTGAAACGAGAATTGGATGTTGATTTTGTCTCTCTGCCAGCCAGTCTAGCCATTCCACAACAATTTCTTTTTGCTAAAGTTGTTGATTTTCAGGGGGCCATGAAGTCAAAAGTCGAAAAAGTCCGATCTGCCAATTTGCTAATTCCTTCGAATTCCTATTACCATAATTTTCTAAAGCTTCCTAGGTGCTCTCTGCTAGTCACTCCTTCTGACTGCCACCTAATCTGTCGGGTCAAAAAAGATTTTTGATAAAATCCGGGGATTAAAGGGATTCTGAAGCCAAGGGTCGAAAAGTCCGATCTGCCACTTTGCCCATTCCATCAAATTCCTACTTACCCCCCCTAGGAACCATCAATTCCGATTAAGCGGACGTCAGTTAGTACCAAATTCAAATACTTACGTCTAATAGCGTCCTTCCTCCTCGTCATATCGATGATCTGCTCATTGACAAGACTCAGCCTTTCCTTCAACGCTTTTCCCTTTCCAGCCAGATCTTCTGACGACCAGATTCGCTGTAAAAGCAGAATTATCTGAAAGAATCGCCAGAAACTACCTGAATCGATGCGGCCTCTCCAGAGAGTACGGTACTGTACTCTTGACTGCCAGCCACCAGAATAGCCAATCCCTTCTCCTTTTCTTCTTCACCAGATCCGACGGCCAGATTATGGGATTCGGTCACGGCTTCCTGAAAATAGGCTTAAATTGTCTCTGCTAGTTTGCCGTCTTAGAAATAGGTCAGCTGGCATCCAGACTACCTATTCCGCCAATGATCGTGGCTCGATTGCCTCGGAATTCCAAAAAAAAAATGCTTTGAGATCTGGTTAGCTTGGGTCAATCCGCCCATTTTTGGGTTCGAATTTGCACAAAGTGCCTCTGCTAGCCTACCCCACGAAGATTTCAGCTATCTGGCATCCAGTCTAATTATTCCGCAAATGGGCACTGCTGCTTGCTCTCCCTTTAGCAACGAGGTGATTTTTTACGTTATCTCTCTCGCTCTCTCTCTCTCTCTCTCGCCCCCTCTCTCTCTCTCCTACCTGTGCCTTTTCGACAGCCATAGTCGCATTCCTGAGTGCTCCAACAATATCATCATAGGCAGCAGAGGCCTTGAGTGGATTTGCCGCTTCCGCTTTCGTCGTTCTGAAAAGTCAGGATAATTCTCTTAAGGTGAAAATTGGTACCTGAAAGCATCCCCGACCCTTTTAGAGTGTTTTGCCAATTCCATCGCGTGTTTCGATGATGGTTGTACATAGGCGTCATCGTACTCGTCAGTCAGTTGGGCGTAGCTAAAGACTTTTGGGTTAAATGGTCTCTCCTAGCTTGCTCAACCTGTTCGACAGATTGGTGAGTGTATTGGCGTGTTCAGCAGCAGCCGCCAGACTATCTCTGATCTTCTGATAGCTATCGTATGCATCGAGGAGTTGGCCTTCACGGGCTTGGGACACTTCCGAACGGGCATTGCTGAAAAAATCAGTTTAAAGGGACGTTAAAGTCGCGTTTCGCTAAAGATTGCCAGCGCCGCGACACGCAACGCGCACCCATCGCTTTAAGATTGCGTAATCGATTACGACACCCTAATCGCCGGCAGAGCGTGGCGTGAGCGAGAGAGGGCGAGAGAGAGTGCGAGAGAGAGTGAGAGAGAGAGTGAGAGAGAGACAGAGAGAGAGAGAGAGGGAGAGACACAGAGAGAGAGAGAGAGTGAGTGGGAAAGAGAGAGAGAGTGACAAACGTCCTTACCTCAAGGCATCTTCCGCTTCAGCCCTCAACGTATCAATCTGCCCGGCAACTTCTCGATATCTCTCGATTCTCTTCGAGACGACGGTACTCATTCTTGACGCATCGGCCCCGTCTTTCTTTGCTTTTTCGTACACGGTGGTCCGGAAATCTTCAACGAGTCCCTCCACGTCGACGAGGCGCTAAAAACGAGTTTTGGCAGGCTAGCGGAGACCGTTTGGGAATTCCGAAAGAATCTCCGCTTGCTTGCCCTCGCGAGTGACTTTACCGGCTGGCAGCTAACCGGAATCACTGCAGAATTTTGAAACCAGAGCCAAAATTTCCAAAATAATCGCTGCGAGCCTGCCGAAAGCGGTTCGTTTGAAGCTAGCAGGGACAATTTTGGAAGTTTCAGGCGGATTAATGTGTGGATACCTGATTGATCTCCTCGAAAGCCGTGTCGTTCAGCTTCAACTGCAGCACCTTCTTCATCAGCTCGTCGGTTTTTGTCTAAAAATTTGAGTTCTTGGGCGATTTTTCCGGTTTTTTCTGAAGCGGGGCGATCCAAAAAATTAGAAGTTTTTAAATAATTTTTCCTAATTTCAAGGACACTGGGCAAATTTTAAGTCAATCTGAACTTGAATTTTAGTCTTGAAAAACATAAATTTCTCGTTATAGCCTTAAAAATATGAATTTTTGAAATATCGCTTTTTGGGTTGGTTTATGGCCAAATTTCGTCGAAAAATGGCCGTTAGACTGTGGGAATATTGGGGTCAAACTTGGTATAAAATCGCAGAATTTTTCAGGAAAAATATCCGCCAGAAACCCCCAAGAAATCCTGAAAAATGCGCGTTCTCGCCCTGATCTTCGTCGTCATTTTCTGGCTGGCTGCCGACGCGCAGGTGACATCGCCGATCAGGAACCAGAACGGCGGCAGGGTACGTTTTTTAGAGATTTCGCGTTTCAGAAAAATTAAACTGGGTGACGAGGACTATATTCCCCAAAAAGCAAAACGTTTACCGCGGCCGGGACTCGAACCCTCGACCCTCGGATTGACAGTCCTGGTCATGAACCAATCAGCCACGTCAGCTAGAGGCTAAACTGGCTGCTAAGGACGACCGTGTGCAAAAGTAATATGCAAATTTTTGAGCAATTTTTGCCAAAACGCAATAACTTTTCCGCGACCGGGATTCGAGCCCTCGACCCCTAAATTCCACTTTTTACGCTCAACCAACTAGCCAGGCTTCCCTGAAAGTGAAACTGGCTGCCAAGGAACGTTTTGAACAAAAAGCAAAAAGTTTGGCATCGTGCGGGTTCGAACCCTCGACCCTTATATTCACTTTCTGGACTCTAACCAATTAGCCAAGCTCCCACAAGGCCAAAAAGCGTTCAATTCCAATCGATTTCAGGGAAAACGCTCTCACTCGATCACTACTGGACCGAAACAGGAATGGTATTGATGACAAATCAATAAATACGGTATATGGCAACTGCCTCAATCACAAACGATTAGCGGATCGTTCCGGCTTTCCGGGCCATTTCTCTCAACATCTAAGGGTACTGCAAATATGTATCATATACGATTCAAACGCGGAGGACGAGCTCTATCAAATGGTAAACTGTAAGCTAGCGTACCCCATCGGAATCTCATTTTATGAGGCCACAAAGACGGGAAAAATTCGAAATTTTCCATTTTCCGAGCGATTTCTCTTGACGTCTAGGCGTACTGTGGCCATGCATTGTACACCAATGAAAAGAGGAAAACGAGCTCTATCAAATGGCATAATCTAGACTACCGTAGCCCACTATAAATCGATTTTATGAGGCATCAAAGATGGAGAAAAAAAATCGAGAATGGTGGTTTTCAAAAATTGGTACCTTGGCGCCCTGGACTCTTCCGTGTCTCTTCTCCACATAGCGGCCCCTTTCAATGGTGGCATTCTGGTGAGCCTCAGCCTCAGCAGCCCAGAGTTCGACTTGTCCGGCTCCCACCGAGATTCCGCCTGAAAAATGAAATTTTAGGTGTTTTTCTCAAAGAATCACTGCTAGCTGACCAGGCAAGCTAGCAGAGATTTTTTGAGATTGGATTTCAAAGCTTCACAAGGGAATGCCTGCGATATCTCTGCTACCTTGCTCTCTCATGATCTCTCTCTCTCTCTCGCTCTCTCTCTCTCTCTACAGCTTTCTCTCCCTCTCTCCTCTCTCTCTCTCTCTCTCTCTCTCTCTCTCTCTCTCTCTCCCTCCCCCTCTCTCTCTCTCTCCACCGTATCTGTATCGCTCTCTCCTTCTCTCTCTCGCTCTCTCTCCCGCTCTGGCGCACTCAGCTCTATTCGATTACGCCATGAAAACGTACCGTATCTCGCAAAGTGTTTCAAGAATTGCGTGGTGTTGAATGATTGTTTGAATGCAGCCTGTGCATCTCGAGATATCCCATCAGCCCTCGTCGTGTAATTCAGAATGTCTTGCTCGGCGCGGGCGGCTCGTTCTCCCATGAAATTCGCCTGAAAAGGAAGGATGAGGTCTTCAAATGTCTACCGTACCTCATCGACGACCGCATCGGCTTCTCTGGCGTATTTGCTCTTTCCCTGGATGTCGAGAATGTTCAGATCCGATGGGTCAACAGCAAGACCGCCGACGAATTCGCGGAGTACTGGAAATCGGTGGTAAATAATTTCATTGCGTAATCGATTTGTCATCGATGTTTTCGCCGCGAAAAAGCAGGTTTTGCAACCGATTACGAAATGAAATTCGAACTCCCTCAAACTGTTGGAAAAATTCTATTACGACATGAAATTCAGCGCTGTTTCTAGGCAAAAACTCACGAGCTGTGCTGTTTTCAATCCTCCCGACTCGTTTCCAGGGAATTGGCCGCAGGTTGGTGAAGTTCTGAAAATTTTAAAAGAACTTGGAAGGCCAAATCCGTAGCACTTACCTGCTCAGCCAGCGTCTCCTCCAGATCATCAATATCGAGCATCAACTCCAGGTAGCAGCCCTGGTCACACGCTAAAAAAACGTTTTTTCATGTTCAACACTGATCCTCTCAAAGAGAATCGCTAAACTGGGAACCAGACTACACACTACAACCCACAGCATTCGGCCCTTTACCAGTTGTGTTCGTTTGACCGGGACAGGATGGCAGGCATACAGGGGAAGGGAGAATCTCGCTCTTGCCCGGCCCCTTGTTCTCTTCCCCCGAGGCCTATAGTCTAGTCTCACTCTTTCGCCGCCTATTCCGCGCCTCACCCCTCCCCTGTGTGTCTGCACCCCGCCGTCTGGCGCACTATCCGCCAGCCTACTCACGAACACCGCGGAATCATGTGCAACCGTCAATTTGGTTGGAATATTCGATTACGCGATGAAAATCTGATCAAAAACACCTACAAGTGCACTTCCGGTTGATGAAAGCGTGGCGTTCCTGGCAACGAGAACAGTCACGGCCTGTCACGCCCGGTCTAAACAGGGTAATTCGCATTGATAGAAATAAGATAAAACGTTCTAAAGTTGAAACTAGAG